AAAAGATATTCTTCAGGAAGAAGAAAAATGACCTTAAAAGCAAGGTCTGAGGTGACAAACATAGTAAATAAGTCTAAACAAACATTGTATAAGATAATACGTGTTTATTTTGAGGGGTAAAATAACTAAAATAGTTCAAGGGGTGAAGATACAATTAACTTTGATTTTGTTAAAATCAGTATGTATAATAAAAATTCAAGAGAAAACACTAGAAGAATAGCAAAAGTATAAAACTTCCGAATCAATATAAGGGAAAAAAGTGGAATAAGAAAAATATTACTCAATTCAAAAGCTGACAATAAGAGGAAAAGTGATTTAGAACCCAGAAAGTAAGAAGGTAAAAGCCAATCCAAACATAATTCTAATCACCATATGTATTTACTAAACTCACGAGTTAAAAGATGAATTGTTAGATTTACTAAAATAAACTAAAATCCAGCTATAATGCTGCTTACAAGAAACATCTTTAAAAGGATACAGAAAGTCAAAAGTAAAAAGATACTTTTTTCTAACAAATAACCCAAAGAAAGTTGGGAGCTATATTATTAGACAAAACAGGCTTTAAGACAAAAAAAAAGCATTATAGGAACTAAAAACATAATTACATAATGATAAAAGATTTAGCCCGCAAGAAGTCACTAAAACTCAATACTTAATATGCAACCATTAAAATAGCTTCAAAATAGGGGTGCCTGAGTTGCTCAGTCGGTTAAGGGGATGCCTTCGGCTGGGGTCATAATCTCAGGATCCTGGGATGAGCCGCTCTTGGAACCCCCTGCTTAGTAGCGGGGAGTCTGCTTCTCTTTCTCCCTCTGCTCTTACCCCCACTCATTAACACACTCTCTCTCTCTCTCTCTCTCTCTGAAATCAATAAGTAGAACCATAAAGAAATAAATAGCTTCAAAATATATAAAGCCAAAATTGAATAACGGGGAGAAAATGCGTGCGCCACCTAGTGGAAGATTCCAACACATTCCTTATTTACTCAGTTGAACAATTAACAAGTTTGAGATAATGCACCCAATGATTAGAGAATACACTACCCCCCCCAACCCAAGCTGCACACAGAAACTACAAAAACTGACCAAGGACTAGGTCATGAAGAAAGACTAAACATTTCAAAGAACAGGTACCACACAGATCTTATTTAATGTATTTAAAATCCCCCGATGTTTGGAAATAAAAACCCCTCAACTCCCAGCAAACCCACAGTGATCCATCTTCTCACTATCCCCTTGAAGTATTCACAGCTCATCAGGATCCCCTTTCTCCTAGAACTTCCCCCAACTCCCCAGCAACCGTGATCCGTCAGTAGGACTGCCCTTTATGCCACAAGCCTCACTACGGCCTCAGCTGACGAGAGGTGGAGTCCTGATTCAAACTGGGCCAATCAGTTGCTCTAATCAAGGAATCTGGGTTTAGGGCAGGCTCTTCTTTGACTTGAGATGATCATCCTTCCTATGAACCTCGCGGGAGCGCAGAAAACGGATGTGCAAAGAGAAACTAGGGGGTCCTGAAGAGAGTCGAGACCACACAGTGAGAATGAGAGAGACAGAGACAGAGAGAGATTGAGAAACTGACCAGAGAGAGGGACCTGGAAAGTAGAGAGAGAAACAAACAGTCTGAGAAAAAGAACATGTAGGGCAGGAGTTGAGTTAGAGATTGAGAGAAAGCAAAAATTCCTGAGAGAGAATAAGAGTGCAGAGCCGAGTGATGGCCTGGATTCGGATGGCTTTGCAGTTCTGGTTTCCATCCTTCCAGAGGTCTGCTGGCATGACAGCCTCTGGTACTTGTAACCAAAAGCCTTCAGTGCACACTTCCACCTCTGCTCCTTAGCTCTAGCTGTCCCTTTGCCTGAAACTCCACCTGTCCCTGTACAGTCTTCAACTTGGCTTAAGTCCCCTCAGTCTTTCAAAACTGTTCTTGTCCTGACATCTTGGTGACATTTTCCTCTATCAGCTCAGCTGCTAAAGCTCTCCAGACTCTAGAGAGCATTCTGCCTGGAAAACATCCATGCTTGGAAACAGAAGCGGCCGGATGGGCCCCTCTGTCTGCCTGTGCCCTTTCTCCATGCCATCTGGTGTCCATCCTTGTACACTTCACTCTCAGTAACTGGCTGATCAGCCAGTGTACAGCAGGCTGAGACTGAAACCCCAGGGCTTTTCTAAAATGAATGTTCTGTCCACCTAGTGTGAGAGTCTCCACAAAGGAAGGGAACACCCAATGAATCATCAGCAGTTTGGTAAAGCAAAGTCATCCTGGGAACTGTGTTCTTAGCCTCACCAAAAATCATGGAAAAAACATTAGAGATGGTTTAGATTCTAATCAAGACTAACTCCTTCATTTTAAAAAAATATTTATTCATTCATTTGTTTTTAAGATAGAATGGGCATATAACATCATTTTAGTTTTAAGTATACAACCAACTCTTTCATTTGTAGATGAGGAAAATGAGGTCATGGAGAAACCGACTTGACCAAAATCACACTGCTAGCAGGGAACACCTCTGTCTTTGGAAGCAAGATGCTTAGAGATTAAGGAACATGAGTTCAACTTGATAGTGTTTCCTCATCTGAGAGAGACATATCTTCCACCCCTGCCAGACTCTACCCCTGGTTTTGAACAAGCTGTTTCTGCTTGTGCCCTTGTGCCTGATAGCAGGCACAACTGAAGGCACAACTTCAGCAAACCAGCTCCTAGCTGTGATTCAAATTAGATGTTGTCTCCTCCAGGAAACCTTCTCTGACCACCATCCCTTCCAAATCTGGTGCCACTGTGTGTACTATATTTTATATACGCATAAAGGCCACTCTACTTGCACGCTTGCCTTGGCAGAGAGTATTAGGCACTCCATAAATATTTGGTGAGTGAAGAAAAACATCAGGTACCAGATGAGGCCTGCTGGAGTCCACTGATTCAGTCCCTTGGTGGAGAACAGAAAGGGAAGAGGCACAGGGTGAGAGAACCAATTAGCCCACTTTTCCAGCACCCTCTCTTTGCGAGTTTGAAGGGAACTGGGTGGTCAGGTTGAATCACCACAAACTGGCTCCTGAAGTAGGGAGGCATCCGTGCTGCAGAGAGCCGAACACTTGACCCCTCGGCAGGAGCATCAGGCTCCCCAAATAGTCTGTAATGGCCGCTTCCCAGAAAGTGTTGTTGGAAGTGGGTCAAGGAGCAATCCCAGGGCCACTAGGCCCTAGGCTTGACTTCACTCAGTTTCTCAGAGGTCATGAGGATAGGGTGCTCAGCCAGAAAAATTTATAATGGATTACGAACCAAATCCCTGGGAGCTGGGCAGATGCTGACCCAAGAGCATAAAATCTAGTCCAGGCCAGAGGTGGCCAAAAGGAGCTGCAACTGGGCCAGCCAGGAGATCAAGGAAAGCTTTCTGTCCTGATTATGAACAATGTCCTCTCCTCCCTGAGTCTCCTTAACTTCTTTTCTGAGAGATTCTGGAGGGGTTGGGAGAAGGCAGTCTGCATCTCACCCAACATTACACTCCAACACCCTGACTCTAAATGCCTCCAAGATTACTCTGGCCTCAACCACTGGCCTCTGATTTACTATTTTATTTATTATTATTTTTTAAAGATTTAATTTATTTGACAGAGAGAGACACGAGAGAGGGAACATAAGCAGGGGGAGTGGGAGAGGGAGAACTAGGCTTCCCACTGAGCAGGGAGTCTGATATGGGGCTTGATGTGGGACTCAATCCCAGGACCCTGGCATCATAACCCGAGCCGAAGGCAGACGCCTAATGACTGAACCACCCAGGCACCCCTGATTTACTATTTTAAACTGAATACTTTTTCCAAAAACAAAGCCCTGTCCATTTGGACCAGTTGTTTTACTCAAGGGACAGGGGCTATTATACACAGCAGAGATCTGGTATCTGGAAAAGCTGGGTGTCTTTAGAAGAGCTTGGAATAAAATTAAAAAGAAAAAAAGCCCATCATTTCTGAGTGAGGTCAGCCAGCACAGCTGGAGAAAGCAGCAGGCAGTGGGGGGTTGCTGAAGGAGCACTTGGCCAGCTTACCTGATCCTGGGCCAAGCCATTGTATAAGCTCCCCAGTATTGGAAAGAAAGAGAGAAAGAAAGAAAGAAAGAAAGAAAGAAAGAAAGAAAGAAAGAAAGAAAGGAAGGAAGGAAGGAAGGAAGGAAGGAAGAAAGAAAGAAAGGAAGGAAGGAAGAAAGAAAGAAAGAAGAAAGATGGGACATGTTTTTAGCTTTGCTCAGGAGCCCAGAACATACTCACAACTCCAGGAATCTCTGCTCTTCTCTGCAAGTGGAAAATATGATCCATGAGAACAAACTTGATCACTGACTGGAGTGTTGCCTAGTTACTCAACCCTGTAACTGGCTGGGGGCGGGGTGGGGGGGTGGAGGGGGTTGGTGGTGTGGAACTGTGCCTCATGCCACCTTGGGACCACTGTCCAGAATCTCTGTCCCTCTGAGCACCTGGCTCTCTTTATTGGTTAAGAGACAGGCCAGGGGCCTCAGAAACGAGTATAAAATGCGTATTTATTGACATCTGCTCTGGAATACACTGGGCTTCTAGGAAGAACAAAAGTAAATGTAAAGGGAAATGCACTAATATAATTAACAACCTATTGCAGTTGTAGGTGTGAAATGTTCTTTCCAGACTTGGCAGAGGAACTACGATTACCCTATATTCAACAGCTTAACACGGAATGTATACTAGAGTTCCAAACTCAGCAAAGAAATAAATAAGTTATTTACATTTCAAGTAAAAAATTGTAGTTTATTCCTTTATTTCACCACGATTTATATGTGTGAACTGTGATAGAGGCCTTGCTGACATCTTGTAGACCAAGGCCAAGAAATATGCCTTATATTGGTTATTTGGTCTTTATCATCAGATTATCATTATCATAGAGGTGAGCGAAACCCTGCAAAAAGGGAAGGAAATACATTTTCGTTGTTGGCCACAGACTTTACCAATGGCCAATTTCTTGTGTTTCTTTTAAAGAACAGGACAAAAAGACTTTATTTTGACATTGGATGGGGGCGCTAGGTGCCAATCAGTATAATGGGATAAAGACAGTAAATAAAGGCATGAAGAAACAAACAAGCAAACTTCCCCGGAACAGGTGTGCTTAAATTAACCAAGTGACAGTTTGTGTGCATCAGTCTCACAATGGCTGTCGCATGAGGTGGGGGAAGAAAAGTACCACGAGACTTAGTTGTTCCGAGGCTGCGAAGCGAGCCCCAGAAACCTCGGAGAGGCCACTGCCTCGCGCCTGCGCTGGCCACGCCTACTAGCCCGCTGCTGTCTCCGCGAGGGCACTCTTCCTCTGCCACTGTTTGTGGCAGGGGGCCGGGCAGAGGGGCTTTGGAGATACTGGAAGGCACTCTGGCGGCCCACCTGCCTCTCTACGCAGTTAAAGGTCAGGGCCACTCCCACGTTGCTCTTCATGACTCTGGAGGAGCCATCAGATGTGCCATCAAAGCAACGGCCAAGAGCAATCTCCTTGGCCACGCGAGGGTCCTGGTCAGTGACGGTATAGATGCCATAGTTGTGGCCCAGTGGATCCAGGGGTGCCAGCATGGTGTACTCGCTGGTGTCATTATTGACTGCTAGTGGTAGGTGGTTGACCAGGTACTCATGAAGCATGGAGTTAACACTGGCTCGATGGCAGCTGCCCTGAGGGATGACCTTCACCAGTGTGCGGTCCACACGGTCCTGGTCATAGAGCATCCCACTGCACTTGAACTCTAAACAGGCAGATGAGACATTGGGCTGGTCCCTGTCCCGTGTGCTCTTCACATCCCGGATTCCATACAACTTCCCCACTGTCCGCCGGTGGGTGCCCCCCATGTTGCGGGATCGTACATTCACCTCCACTGGCCCCACAATCTTCACCTTGATGTAGCAGGCCCTGAACTCCATTGGCTTGGGCCACCAAGCCAGGTAGTCTTCAGTCCAGCTCATAGGATCATCCTCATTGAAGGGTACAGTATTGTAGTCATACCGATCCCCCTCAATCTGGTAGAACCGGAAGTGGGCTGCACTGGGTGGAGCCTCCTCACATGCCCGGAGGTTCTCAAAGGCATAGATGGGCCCATTGCTCTCCTCGGGTGAATTGGGCCGTGGCTTGGCCATACTAATCTGGAAAGCTGTCTTCTTCACCCGTGGGTCCTCATGATCTGTCCGACGGTATTTGAGCTTATTGAGATAGGGCTGTGGGACACCAATTGCATTTGGGTTGAACTTAGGAAAAGACTGTACTGCTTCCAGTTCTTCCCCAGCTAGGCTTGCCAAAACATAGGCAGAATAGGCATCAGGGGACTCGTCATCGCAGAAGGCAGGGACACAAGCCCCATTGGGGCCCGTGATGACACTGTCAAAGCGGCCCCAGGCCCTGGGGTTGGATGAGAAACCAGTCCTGGGCTCCAGGTTGATCACAGAGACCACAACGCCTTGGATCTGCTCACTGGGCAAGAACCTCTCACTCCGGTAGGCCCTAACCTTGATAAAGCACCTCCTGCTTTCTGGGACATCCAAATTAAAGAGCCTCCTTTCACGGATCTCCATGTTGCCCACCAGGAAGGTTCTCTCTTCCCTTTTGCCCCGCCTTTGGCTTTCAAATTTGAAGTCACCTTCCTCTTCCCACAACCCTGTGTCTGGGTTGAGTGACCAGAGTTTCATTGTGGGCACATGCTCTGGCATCTTGACCTGGGTCGAGTCAAGGTGGACCTTCACCTTGCCAACATTAAGTGACTCTGAGGTGGCCTCGTCTGTGAAGTCCACGGAGAACATGCCATATGTCCGAAGGGGGAAGGTGTCTCCTTCATCATTGATGAAGTTCAGGTCACTCTGGGCAGCTGTGGCTGTGGAAATATTCCGGGGATCCAGGAAGGTCACACTGGCCTTTACTTTTCCTGTGTAGGGCTCCCCATTCTGCCTGTAGAAGCTCTTGGATGGGATCTCCAGCTCAGCCATAGGGTCTTCTCCAGCCACCTCCCCAAGGGGGATAATGTTGGTGTCCATGGCCTCCAACATGATGGGCTCTTTCTTCCGAAGCATCTTGATCTCATGGAACACCGCACTCCCCTTCTTGTTGAAGGGCAGCACTTTAGTGGTATTGACGAACTTCTGCAACCTGTCCACAAATGTGAGCACCAGCCTCTCTGTGTCCTGGGGAACATGGAGGGTGAAAGTGCCTTTGTAGCCAGTCATGCTCACACGGTTGCTCCCCAGGTACACATGGCCAAAGCGCATGGGTTCCCCATTGTCAGCAGCACTGACGCGGCCACGCACAATACTCCGGGTCTCTGTACACCGTTGGCAGCTGCACTCCATGGCCACCTTGGTGGGCAGCGTGTACCCACTGCACTGGATCTCCCTTTCCTCTGTTTTGGAGATGCCACAGCAGTGCTCCACGGCATCCCGGCACCTGATCCCGTTATCCTGCTGCCCTGCACAGGTCTTGACAGGGCAATGGCCCACGTCATAGTAAAAAGAGTTGGTGGCATTCTGGAAGCAATCATGGGGCAGCCGGATAAGGTAGCTCTCAGGGGTTGGATTGCAAGGAGTCTCATCAGTGGCTGTGGAGGGAATGGTATGCATATTAAAAGAAAATTCATGTCCTACGCTAAGTGTACCCTTACCTCACCTCTCTGTGGGGCTTTATGGTTTTCAAAGTACTTGCATCTCCATGATCCTGATTCTCACAGAACTCTTCTGAGGGAGATGGAATAACCATTATTTTTTTTTATCATTTCTTTAAAAAGATTTTATTTATTTATTTGTCAGAGAGAGAGAGAGTACAATTGGGGAGAAGCAGGCAGAGGGAGAAGCAGGCTTCCCGCTGAGCAAATAGCCTGACTCGGGACTCGAACCCAGGACTCTGGGATCATGACCTGAGCTGAAGGCAGATGTTTAACTGACTGAGCCACCCAGGTGTCCCTAGAATTGAATAGCCATTATTAATCCATATATGGATTAATAACGTATGTATATATATTAATATACATTATATATATTAATAATGTATGTGTATATATATGTGTGTATATATATATATATATATATACACATACATATATGGAAACAGAGTTGGTTACTGAGACCATTACAGTCATGGTTCTTGATAGAGGGGTCCGGAAAATTTGTGAGAGTGTTTTGAGTTATCACTAAAATTGAGAGTGCTACTGGCATGTAGTGGGCAGGGTGGGGGATGGGCATTGCCACTCTGTGTCTTGCAATGGCCTAGCACTGCTCAGCATGAAGAATTTGTCTGCATGAAGTTCACGTATCCCAGCAGACATTCATGTACGTGGAAAACCTGTTTAAAATGATCATAGCTTACTATTTTTTCTGTGGCTTTAACCATTGAATTTTTAAAGAACACAACTGCCTTATAAATCAAGCTAAGATTGTACTTGGTTTAGCTTGGAACTATACCCAGAATTGTTCCCTTATCTCAGGAAAACTGCATACCTGCCCCAACATTAACCAAGGAATGTGAACCACCAAAATGATACCCCTATATTCATCAGGATTTGTAGCTGTTGCGTTCGTGGTGACTGGATTTAAGTACAAGTGTCTGACCTCTTTGGTTAGCCTTCTCATGTTACTATGCCAAAAAACATTTATACATCGGAATATATACACTGTTTTGAATTAGAGTCATTTTCTTTTTCCTTTATGTTATAGTTCAGGCCACATGCACATGTATTTAGAAATTATATGTACTTATTATCTACCAGTATGACTTCAGAATGATAAGGTGGTGTTAAAGATAACTGTTACAGGTGGGAGCAGTGGTTTTATGGATTGGGAACCACTGTCAAGGGAGCTTAACATCTCTGCAGTGGTCCTAGTGCCTTGTGTCCTGTCTGCCCTGAGGTTTGGTGTTCGGCATTCTCGGAGTCTGAAATATTCCAGAATGCTTCCAATACATTTTCTCTCTCCTGCCTTTTGTTTAGTTTTGTTTAGACCAATTATTATTATTTATTATTATTATTATTATTATTTTATTTGAGAGAGAACGCGAACGAGCAGGGAGCCAGAAGTGGGGTCTCCATCTCAGGACCCAAGGATCATGACCTGAGTGGAAGGCAGATGCCCAACCGACTGAACCATCCAGGTGCCCCTAGGCCAATTATTAAGATCTCCTCCTCCCTGCCCTTCCACCCCACACATTGCAAGTATGTGTTCCTGATTGGTCTTGGCTTCCAGTCTCTCCCCTTCCAGATCACTTCTTTTTTTTTATTTTTTAAAGATTTTATTTATTTATTTGACAGACAGAGATCACAAGTAGGCAGAGAGGCAGGCAGAGAAAGAGGAGGAAGCAGGCTCCCCGCCAAGCAGAGAGCCCGATGTGGGGCTCGATCCCAGGACTCTGGGATCATGACCTGAGCTGAAGGCAGAGGCTTTAACCCACTGAGCCACCCAGGTGCCCCTCCAGATCACTTCTTAAAGCCAGCTCTAATCAGGTCCCCCTTTCCTGCAAACCTTACTTAGCTCATGCGGACCCTCAATCTAGAATGCCCCCACCTCCATACACACAGTCCTTGGCCATTATTCAAGACCAGAGGTTCACAACATTGGCTGCAAATTAGAATCACCAGGAGGAGATTTTAATCTGTGCATGCCTAGACCATGTCCCAAACCCATGACATCATATTCTGGAGGTAAGACCCAGTCATCAGTATTTTTAAAAATTCAGCAGGTGATCCCAATGAGTAGCCAAGGCTGTGACCCACTATTTAAACTCCAGCTAAGGGACGCCTGGGTGGCTCAGTTGGTTAGGCGGCTGCCTTCAGCTCAGGTCATGATCCCAGCCTCCTGGGATTAAGCCCCACATCAGGCTTCTTGCTTGGCAGGGAACCTGCTTCTCCCTCTGCCTCTGCCTGCCATTCTGTCTGCCTGTGGTTGCGCTCTCTCTCTCTCTCTCTCTTTGTATGACAAATAAATAAATAAATAAAATCTTTGGAAAAACAAACAAACAAACAAACTCCAGCTGAAAAGCTGACCCCTCAAGCAGTCCTCCATGGTTGCTCACACTGAAAGGTCTTTGTTTCTCTTCTTATCTCCTGTTTCAGTGCATTTTTCTATCTTTACTTATTTGTCTCTTATTTCTATTTCTTCACCTCTCCCTGGACTGGCAGCTCTGTGAGGGTAGGATTTAGGACTGTGAGATCTTTGTGTCCTAGAGGGTACAGCACTGTGTACAGCACAGAAAAGCCCGAGCTATTACTGCCCAGATATGGCCACTGGGGTGCTTCCCCCACCCTGTGGCCCTGTGGCAGACTTGGGGATGCTGACAGGCTTACCTATGACAGTCAACTGGGCCACCCGCGACTTCACAGCCCCCGAGTCACTCTGGGCCTTGCAGAAGTACTCTCCAGCCTGGTCCTGTCGCAGGTTCCTCAGCACTAGCTTGCTCTCATGCTTGTAGAGGGAGGGGTCCAGCAGTGTGTCATTGTGGTACCTGCAAGGAATGGAGGGACAGAGGCTGAGGGGATGAAGGGAGGGCAGGTACCCCTGGGGAGAAGGCAGGAGCAAGCCGCTGGAGAGGCAGATGATGCCTGGGGCCCTGCAGATGCCAATACCACTTGTGACTCAGCTCATCCAAGAGCTCTGCTGACCAAGGAGTCAAGGGATTTCATTCTGAGTCCTTGCCTCACTACTACCCAGCTATTGGTCCTTAGACAAATCCTCTCACCTCCCTGAGCTTTAGCTTCCTGGTCTGTGTTTCCCTAGCTGACTTCACAGAATTATTGGGAGCATCAGACAAGATAATGGCTGTAAATTATCTGTGAAGGATAAAAAAGGATTCACAGTCCTGGGGGACTCTGACCTTGTGTGTGTTTTGCTGGGGAAGCTTGTTCTGTGTCCCAAGAATATCCAAGTCAGGACCCTGAGACCAGACCTGCTCTGTGGGGTCCCTAGCTTCAAGAGGTTAATGACAGGGCTTGTTGTCTGGGTGGCCTTGACCCCACTGGCGCCCACTTGTAAATGCCAACTCATGAGTTCTGTGCCAGAGCCTTACTAATAACTTATCCTGTTGGTTATTGTTATGATTAATATTAAGTCCAGAGCCCTGTACAGAACTTATCAAACTCAACACCTAAAGAACAAATAATCCAATCAAGAAACGGGCAGAAGACATGAACAGACATTTCTGCAAAGAAGACATCCAAATGGCCGACAGACACATGAAAAAGTGCTCCACATCACTCGGCATCAGGGAAATACAAATTAAAATCACAGTGAGATACCACCTCACACCAGTCAGGATGGCTAAAATTAACAAGTCAGGAAATGACAGATGTTGGCGAGGATGCGGAGAAAGGGGGACCCTCCTATGCTGTTGGTGGGAATGCAAGCTGGTGCAACCACTCTGGAAAACAGCGTGGAGATTCCTCAAAAGGTTGAAAATAGAGATACCCTATGACACAGCACTTGCACTACTGGGTATTTACCCCAAAGATACAAATGTAGTAATCCAAAGGGGCACGTACACCCCAATGTTTATAGCAGCAATGTCCACAATAGCCAAACTATGGAAAGAGCCTAGATGTCCATCAACAGATGAATGGATAAAGATGTGGTATAAATATACAATGGAATATTACGTCGCCATCAAAAAAAACCCCTGATAACTTGCATTTGCAACAATGGAACTAGAGGGCATTATGCTGAGTGAAATAAGCCAATCAGAGAAAGACAACTATCATATGATCTCACCAATATGAGGAATTTGAGAAACAAGACAGAGGATGCTAGGGGAAGGGAGGGAAAAATGAAACAAGTTGAAACCAGTGAAGGAGACAATCTGTAAGAGACTCTTAATCTCAGGAAACAAACTGAGGGTTGCTGGAGTAGAGGTGGGTTAGAGGGCTGGGGTGACTGGGTGATAGACATTGGAGAGGGTATGTGTTGTGGTAAGTGCTGTGAATTGTGTAAGACTCATGAATCACAAACCTATACCCCTGAAACAAATAATACATTATATGATAATAAAATAGAATAATAATAAGTCCAGACTCATTGAAAGAAAGGTCCGGTTTCTAAGAAGACTTGGCAAGGAAACTGGCAGAACACTCACCAGAAATACTTGTCTGGACTGGGCTTCCCTGTGGCCTTACAGCATAGGGACACACTCTGCCCAGCTCTCCGTGCTTTTGTCTCTGGGTTCATCATGATGTATGGAGTCTCTGGGACAGGAGACAAGAAACGGTGATTTGGTTTTTTTCTTTGTGGCAGATTGTCTAGAGCCTTGCTCCCTCAAGTTCTTTGTCATGCGTTAAAATTGTATGACCTTACATGTACTCCCACCCCTAGCTCCTCCTCTAAGGGAAGTGGTCCAGAATGGAGTCCACCCACTCCACACCCTCCGCCTAGGATCAGCTTCGGTGGCCTCTCAAGCAGCCTTTGGGTGGGGCAGTAGAGAACCAAGGGGACCTTGTGCAAGCCAAGATTCCTGAGCACTGCCATTGGGACAGAGCTGGCTGTTTTGAATAGAGCAATACTCACATTCTGCTGCTTCCAGCAGAATATGCCGGCCATTCTGCACCATTTCTGGTTTCCCCCAGCCTCTTTCTCTCTATAATCTCTATAATTGACTATTTTAGATAAGGTGGCCAGAGAAAAATTCATACATTTGAGAGAACAAGTCGTGTCAATAATCTGTAGGAAGAACACTCCAAGCAGAGCATATGGCAAGTGCAAAGGCCTGAGGCAGAAGTGTGTCTGCATGTTTGAGGAACAGCTAGGAGGCTATTCTGACTGGAATAGAGTGACTCTGTGGGGTGGAAGGGAGAGTAATGGAAGAGGAGAACAGAGAAGTAATGGGCAAGCCAGATGATGTAGAGCTTTGTGGGTCGTAGTAAAGATCTGGGAATTTACTCTGTAAAGTGGGAAGCCAGCTCTTAGCACTATAATCCCTTTATTTAAAAGTCCAGCTTTCCTGTCCAGCCCTACCCCAGAGAAAAGTACCTGCCCTCACGAACTCCGCATTGACAGTGGCTGCCTTTAGTCTAGTCTTGGGCATCGTGAGCATGATGGGGGCAAACTTGGCCTTTGTGATCTTCAGAATGCTTTTGCCATCAGGGCACAAGCCAGGGACCCGGAACCTCCCACTGCTGTCTGTCTTGGTCAGTGGCTTAGGCTTCTTGGTCAGCAGGTAGATGGTGGCTCCTGAGGCTGGGGCACCCCCAGGGAGGGAGATAGCTCCGTGTAGCATGAAGTCCTGGCACATGCATGCATCGCAGTCAGCATTCACCTGGCCCATGGGGCAGGTCAGGTCACAGGCTGTGGAAGAAAGGGCAATATCAGGAGGGCTTATATGGATTCTGGCTCTCCTTCAGGCATATCTCAGCCTGTGGACTTACTTATGCTTCCCCTCCCCCTTAGGTCTGTGTTACCTTTCCTTATCAGCCTGCTTGACTAATTCCTCTTCATTCTTCTAGATAGCCCAGGACACTTCTTCCAGGAAGCCACCCTTGTTTCTCCTAAGTTATTATTGACCCTGCTCTGTGCTCCCACACTATCCTCTACATTCCCCATCAGAGCACATAACAGATGCTCATTTAATACTTGGTGAATGAAAGAATGAGTGAATCAGTCTGTCTGACCCTCTGTTCTATTCCTCTAGGCTGCTTCAACTCAGTCACATGCCTTCCCAGTACCAGGATCAAGAGAAGCACCTGTACAGGCTTGGTCCATGCAGAGGCGGCCCTCCTCAGAGGCCTCATTGCACAGTGACACCGTCTCTGCCAAGCAGGTACGTGTTCGGGTCTGGACTCCAGTGTGACCACAAGCAGCAGAACACTTGCTCCAGGGAGACCATGGGCTCCAGATGCGCTCTGTGTCTCGGCGCAGGGACCCTGCAAAGAGGATCAGCAGATGGCCTGACTTGCCTCCAGAGGGGACTCTGTCAGGAAATCTGCCCCTGAGGCTGTTTTATGTCAGAAAGACAGGGTTTCTGTTCACATCATAGACGGCACTGGTATTTATATTTACTGCAATGACTTTTCCAACGGAGGGAAGTCAAGAGTCCTGAGGAAGTGGTGTCTCTAATTTGCACAAAGGTACCATATGGGCCAGGGGTGGCTCTGAGAGGGACTTGTTGGTGAAGCACTGGGACCTGGATATGCTGTCTTAAGATGTGCAGGGATAGCGCCATTTTTCCTCCCATCATTGTGGAAATAGTCATACATTCCTGTGAAAGGGCTCCCTCCTGGTCAGGGTCTGGGACTCCAGTGACTCAGACCTTACGCTCTCCCCCTCACCTCTGCTCTGAGGCCTGTGTGCGGGAATGGAGACCTCGGACATTGCCTAGCCTGAGCTCTGGGTGGCCGCCACTGCCACTGGAGCCTGCGGGGCCAGGCTGTGCACACTGGCAGAGTCACAGGAAGGGAGGATGTCCATCTGAGAAGTGGGCAGCCTTGCAGCTGACTCTGTATTATCCTATGTGGAGAGGGAGGGCATCATGCGTGAACTCTTGGACTCTGTAGACACAGATGTGAGTTCAAATCCCAGCTCCCCACTTAACAGCTACAGAATTGTAAGAAATCACCTAACCTCTCCAGACCTGGAGTAACTTATCAAAATGGAGATTAAAGAGTAATGAATATAATGAATGAATGAATAGTGACTATAACAAGCCCAGTGTCTGGCACATAGGAGCAATAATAGAAACTATCACTTAGTGAAAGTTTACTTGGGTTAAACCCTCTACATTCCTTATCGCATTTAATCCTCATAAAAACCTACATCAAGATGTACTAATATTTACCAATATTACTAATACTTCCCCTGTTCTATTGGTGAGAAACCTGAGGCTCAGAGAGCTTCAGAAAATTCACCTAAGGGGCGCCTGGGTGGCTCAGTCCGTTGAGTGTCTGCCTTTGGCTCACATTGTGATCTCTGGGTCCTGAATTGAGTCCCACTCAGCAGGGAGTCTGCTTCTTCCTCTCCCTCTCCTTCTGCCCTTCCTCACCGTTCATTCTCTCTCTCTCAAATAAATAAATAAAATCTTCTAAAAAAATAATGAAATCACATTTTTTAAAAAAAGAAATAAAGAGAATTTGCTTAAGGAACACAGTTCAGATGGTAGACCCAGGATTCAAATGCAAGTAGCCCAACTCCAGAGCCTGTAGTCTTCACCTCCTTGCCGCCCACACTCAATAAGTGGGTTAAACAGAAAGTCCCCATTGACAGAGAACACTCTTGGGAAGATTATGGCTCTCATCACAGTAATGTGTTACTCTGAGGGAGTCAAAGTCTGTGTATGTGTGTGACATCCTGAGTTTCAGTGGCCAGATGCCCATCGTGGCCTCTCCCTGTGCCAAGGCTGTGGGAGGTAGGGGGTCTGGGTCTGTCCGGGCTTACCTGGTGGGCAGAGGAAGCGCACCGTATAATTGGAGCAGTTCTGACCAGGCCGCTGCTCCCTGTTGAGGCACCAGAAGCCCTCATGGGGACTGCCATGGACCACCTGGCCAGTGCTGCCTGCAGGCATCCAGTCGGTGGTCCGAGCCTCTAGCTGCAGGGGCCGAGCACACACCCGGTCCCCATAGTAGAAGTGAATGGCGTCCAGCCGCTCATAGTCACCCTGCCCGCCTGGGTGATCGATGTTGAACCAGGTTGTCCACTCCCCAGGACCTGAGAGGTAGAGGCAGGTCAGAGAAAGACAGGCCCCAGAGCCTCAGGGGTGCTCCCTCCTTCCTCCCTGCTTAACTCCTGGGACTCACTCCCGATACCTCTCACCCACCAGCATTGGTCTCTGACGCTGTGGCATCTATCTCTCCAGCATCCCTCCAGCCTTTTAACCTTCTTCTGTTCCTGCCACTCCATTAAAGCTCTCAGCAGCCTGCCTGTACCATGTCAGTAACTCCCTGCCTGGTCTTTCTACTTCCAAGTTCCCGTTCTCTCCACCTCCCACCCCTCACTGACCCAGCAGTCAGGGTGAGCTTTCTCCGGGTGGCTTGGACCCCACCACTCCCCAGCTTTAAATCCCTTAGCCAGGCATTCAGTGTAAGCTGGCCCCTGCTCTCTCTCCATCCTCATCTCCCTCCCACCCCCCATCTCCCATCAGCCTGTGCTCTGGTTCCAGCAAGCTCTATAGCATTCCCGAATATGTCAGGCAGCTTCACATTCTAAGCTGTCCTATTTCCTAGGTCCGTCCGCCTGGACGGAGATGTAGGTTAAATGCTTTGTAAAAGTGGGTTTCCATGGAAACCATGACACTGTGCCCTGGCTTCCAAGATTCTCGCAGTAAGCTCAGTAAAGACCCCCTCTCTTGACCCTCCCTGCTCCAACCACTACTCACTTTCCAGAGAGTCAACAGGTTTGGCAAAGATGCTGGAGGTCCTCCTCCCAGGCTGGACTCTTCTTACCGACTGGGTGAGCATCATCTGCCTCCCTGAGGGCAAGGAGGAGAAGTGAGAGCCCAGGACTGGTAGTTATAAGGGCTCATCCGCATCCTCCTACCCCAGCCTTTCAAGATGCAGGGAAGCATCTTGGGGGTGGGTGGAGCAAGAGCATTGGACAAGTGTTCAAACTCTGCTCTGCCATTATCTAGCTGTGCAACCTCACGAAGCTTTATTCTTCTAATTGCGTTTCCCAAAACACAGGGCTGCATTAACCATTGCTACATCATAGGGTTCTGGTGCCTTTTCAGAGTGATGGTCAATGTAAAGAGACCCTGCACAGAGTGCAGGCTCTGTCAATGGTAGTTGTCTTACTGCTCTTGTTCTAGAAATGGATCATGAGATGCTGCTGAGCGGCCAGTGGGCTGGGGCTCCTGTGATGGGATCTGGGCATGTCCTTCTTGGCAGAACGGAGCCCTATTTTCCCCATCTGTAAAATGGAGATACTAGTTCCCATCTCAGAGGGTGGCAGTCCAGTAGCCATGTGAATTTCTTGAGGTGACCCAAGTAAACATCTCTGAAGTATATAGAGATTGAAAGTGTGAGCTCCAGAGGCTCTGCCACGTCCTAACTCTTTGACCTTGAGCCAGATACTTGACTCATTTGACCCCTGTTCCCTCATCATAAAATGAGGACAATAATAGTTCTTGCCTCAAAGGATTTTGGAGATTAAATAAACTCATTCACAAAATCCACTCAGAGTAATGCCTAGCATGGTGCTTGCTGAATAAGTGTTAGCAACTCTGGAAGAGGGGTACAGGGTCCTTAGTCCACAAGCAACTTCCAGCCCCACCCCATCTGAGGCGGGATTGGGGGCTCCCAAGGGGGAAGGAGAAGGAGAGCTGAGAACAGACAAGCTCTGAAAGGCAATTAACTCTCGTGCAAGGAACCAAATCAGAATTTTCTATGCTGCTTAATTGGGGTGATAGGAACTCTTTTAATCAAACTAATCTGATTTCCCCTCAGATGGCTGAATGTTAATCATCTTTACAAACAGCAGCTGTCAGGGTGGAAAGAGCAAGGTGGGAGGTGGGTGCGCGCAGGGTTTGGCAAGATGGTGAGACAGCCTTTGTTCCTGCGTGAGTACTCACAAAGGCTCAAGTGCAGGCAGCTTTACAAGGGGGCTTTGAGTGTTTTTTTGCCCTACTTGAGGAGGCAGTTAAAAATCAGGAGAGGCAGAAGAGATGGGAGAGAGCATACAGGGCAGGGCTGGGAGCGCTGATGCTCAGATGCACGAGGCTATGCCCATGCCCCCTACCTGTTCCTTCAGGAACTCAGTGTCACCAGAGGATAGGGTCAGAGGACAAGGGGACCAGAAGAGGGTCTGGTGTCTGTGAAATTCAGCTGCACGGTCTAAATGAAATTGAGCTTTAAGCTAGAAGAATTTTTTATGACACTAAAACCAGAGCACACCGCAACCTGCTCCTGAGAACCCGATGATCCCTTGTGATTCCCTTTTGCTTTGACTCCCAGGAATCCCATAGCTAAATTTAGCACCTAGAGGTGATAACCCTTTTATCCTTTTTCCTCCCTTTGAGTGACAGCTAATTCCCCTCCTCATTTAAAAGATTCTGTCCTGTGAGTTTTAATATTTGGAAACTATCTCAAATTCTCCTGGGAAACAAGCAGGATATACATTATTAATAAGTCTATAAACCAGCCTGAAGTCTTAAGGCCATTGCTGAGGCCCATAGTTGGGTCGCAGACCAGATATGACTTTGCTATGACACACAGAGGCTTGGGAGGGGCCAGATACTTAGCCCATACCCGACACAGAGGTGACTTCCAGGACCAGGAAGAAGAACACCCAGGCCTTGGTCCCCGCCATCTTTCCCCCAGGCCCTATGGGAAACATGGCAGGAGATGGGTGAGGGTACTTCAGATTTGGGTCCTCCCCGGAACGTAGTATCCTGGGAAGTCTCTCAGATCCAGTGACCTGCAAAGAATCAAAGCTGATCAGGTCCCACATTTCTGCATCATTTCTTATGGCTCAAGCAGAACTATTTCTTGACCTATCAAGGGTGGAAGGGTAGAGAGAATAAAGTCTCATGGGAGGTAACACCTGCCCAAGTTGTGAATCTGGGCAGCTTAGGAGGTGCAGAGGCTCAGGAGTTCAAATAAGGCAAAGCTGGATTCAGATCCAGGCTCTAGGACCCCACATCCTGATGAGGCATAAGGGAGAGCAGGGGTGAGGAGGTACCTTGCCAATGAGGAGGGGCTTGGGCTTACACCCAGCAGCCTTTTGAGTGACTCATGTATCACTTCCAAGACCTGGGCTTCGGGGCATGTTTTGGTGGGGCTCACACTCTTGCACCAAGGGGCTATCCATGAACACCGTGCCGCCCAGCCCTGACTGCCATGGCCCCTCGCAGGACAGGCAACCTGGAGGGGGCAGATGCTTCAGATGCATGATATCCATGAACACATTCCCAGATGTGCACAGCCTGCAGCTGGAACACATTTCTAACCTGTTTGTTGGGGCCTGGCTTGGAGTTACACAGCTGGGAGCTCCCTGAAGGAGAGCAGAGGGGATACACTGTGTGAAGCCAGGGGTCCCCAGTAACTGGTAAGCATGGGTTAGGGGCTGTAAGAGCCAAGAGAAGAAAGTGGGCTTGACAATAAAGGCAAAGATCCATGGGGTGTAGCCCAGGCTCTTGTTCATTTCTATCTCTCCCCAGAGCTCTGGCCAACCCAGAATCTGACCAGTTCCTGGAGATTCAAAAGTGGCTCCTTTCAACGTCCAAGGTCCAGGGTGTGGTGGGAAAGAGGAGATTCCTCCTTTCCAGCGGGGGAAAAGATATAAAAGCACTTGGCTGTCTCAGAAGAACAAACCAATCCCACATTGCAGATCTTCTAGCTCTAAGCCCATTAACCTTCCCCCCAGGCCCCCGCTCCATCACCTTCTTTTTCTCAGTCAAGGGAACAGAGGCATAGGGGTCCTCAAGGTCCCCATTGCATGTCTTACCCCCAAGCTCCTGGGCTTGGAGCAGGGAGCTGAGTGCTGCACAGCATTCAGTCTGAGACCACTCTAAGACTGTCTGAGAGGCCAAGGTGGCCTGAGGCACCTTGTGGAAAAACCATTTCCCATCTGGCAGCCCACGGAAGTTTCCTCAGCATATGCTCTGTTAGTTAGGCTCCCCATCCCACGCTCCGCAGAACTCTCGAACAAAGCAGACTGGCTGACCGCAAGAAAGAAAGCAGACGCCCAGAGGTACAGACCCTGACTGGGACCATTTGAGAGTCCCTGACCTCAGGTGAAGGAGGGGGAGGGCTTTGGACCAGTAGGGGGGAAAAGAGAGAACTTCAAAGCGAAAGGGGGGGGGGCTCTTCTCTGGGGGAGATGCAGGGTGATCTGGGAAGGGCAGGAGTAGCTAAGTGGGGCAGAGAAATGCAGGCATGGGGTGAGGAAAATGGGAGTGGAGCTCACCGTGTCCTGAGCGGGACTCCTCAGCTGGGGGTTTCAAGTCTTCGCCTCTCCTGTCCAGCCGCCAGGCCTTATATAGCGCAGCTGGTGGCTCAGCCCGTGGCAGTGCGCCAGGGGAAGCGCGGCGAAACCAGATCTGAGCATGGGGAAGCTCAGCCTCCCCATCCCCTCCCCACATCCCCTGGAGCTCCCAGAGGCCCGGATTTCGCTTCCAGATCCTTAGAGTGAGAGGCTGCAGGACCTGGGGAGAGGCCAGGTGGGCAGGGGCCTGAGGCTCCACAGTCTGGAGCAGAGAGATACACGGAGGGTCAGGGTGGGTCTTGGGAGCAACCCTGGGCAGGGGCCAAGGGCTAATTTACATCTGGGCAGCATTTCATGGCTTGGGGGTGGGGGTTGTGTGCTCTTGCTTAAGCTTTGCTTGCTGATCCCCCACATTCCCCTGACCCGCCCCTGCAGAGAAAGAACTTTGCTGGTGTTAGCACATACTTCAAACTCTCTTAGGCACACCAGTCACCTGGTCTCCTAACTGGGGGTGCCTGGTCTGAGCTGGGCAACTATTCAGCTTCTCTGGACCCCGAGGGAGCACTGAGAGAAATTTAGAAGGGAAAGGGACAAAGGAATTAGAGGACACAGGATGTCACCTGGTAAGAATAGTTCCTCCTTGCCTGTACCTACTTCCATCGGGGGCCTGTCTATGTTCCCTGGAGCCCAGAGGCCCTGCATATAGGCTTTCTGAGACCTTGCCAGACTGTCAGAGATGTATGCCGGTGTATCTGACTTCAGGTATGGGGCCTGCCGCACATGCACAGCCTTACCCGTAGGTGGCGCAAGCAGCTGTCTCTGCTTCTGAACCCGAGTAGCGGCCCCGCCCGCAGCCAGCAGCAGTCAGCCTGTGGTCCCAGGCCGCAGCAGTTCAATAAATTTAGCACGCCTTAGAATCCCCTGGAGGGCTGACTGCTGGACCCCACACCGAGTTCCGGATTCAGTATGTCTGAGGTGAGGCCCGAGACTGTATTACTAACAACTCCCAGGTGTTATTGATTGTTCATGGACCACATTAGAGGGCCAGCTGAAAGCAGAAGATGGGGAGGGGTGTACTAGGAACCACAGCAAGAGCTGCTAGAACCCTTCCCCCAGTTCATGTGCCAGGCTCATCGGCCTGGGCTGGGCTTCCTGCCTCATGCCAGGACTTGGAGATGGAGGCCCGGTCGTAATGGCCTCCCATACCAAGTGTCGGCTTGCTCGTTCCATACACCCTCATTAAGCTCCTATTCATGGAAGGCTATAGGTTGGGCACTGGAAGGCCACAGGGGAGGAGACATGTTCTTGCATTCAGAGGAATGAGCCTCACATGGTAATGATCTCACAGTGAGCAGTGCAGACCCAGAGAGCTGTGTATATGTGCTGGTGTGGAGCTGTGTCTTTGTTCCTGAGTGTGTGTGGGTTAGCCTGGGTTTAGGAACATTGTTTCTCTGAGCATCACCCTAGACATGGACTGCTGGGAGAGAGGGTGGGTATGGAAGAAGGATGTTAAACAGCGGTGGCTGGCGAGCTGACCTAAAGCACAGATCTGGTTTGCTTTGTGTCCTGGAGCCTGGTCTCCCTTGCAGTCCCTAGCCCTTGGCCCATAAATTCTGTTGCCAGCTCCAGTCTCATCCAGTTTGTTGTTGGAGCCAAACTGTGAAGTAGCTACAACCGTAGCTTTGAAGGCGAAGTCTGAACCGAATGAAGTACGTAAGAGCTCAACTAGTCTGGGGCACCTGCGTGGCACAGTTGGTTAAGCCTCCAACTCTTGGTTCGGCTCATTTTGTAATCACAGTGTGATTACAAGAGTTGGGCTAGAGTTGGGCTCTAGGCTGCTTAAGACTCTCTCTCCTTCTGTCCCTCCCTGCCCCCTCTATCTCAAATAAATAAATAAATCTTTTTTTTTTTTTAAAGATAGATTTATTTATTTATTTATTTATTTATTTGAGAGAAAGAGATTGAGAGAGAGTGCACATGAGAAGGGAGAGGGTCAGGGTGAGAAGCAGACTCCCTGCTGAGCAGGGAGCCCGATGGGGGACTCAATCCAGGGACTCCAGGATCATGACCTGAACCGAAGGCAGTTGCTCAATCAACTGAGCCACCCAGGTGCCCTCAAATAAATAAATAAATCTTAAAAAAAAAAAAAAAAGCTCTACTTGTCTAAGGACAAAGACTGAACTGCAATAGGCAGATCAAAGGGCAAGTCAAAAGGCTCTGTTGCTGATTCTGATGTATGACCTTGGAAAAGCAAAGACCCAAGTGATCCTAGACCTCATTGTCCCCACCCGTGCAACAAAAATTTGGACTGAGCAAGCTCCAAGGCCCCCACCCATGCTGGCAAGATTGATAAGATGCTAACAACAAACATAGTAGGGAGGAGAGAGAGGAAGGCATGAGAGCTGCAAGAAGTCTGGCTGGGGATCAGGAGAGGCCAGAGAAGCAATGTGACTGCTGATGCTGGATAAGGAGAACAAGGTATACAGGAGAGGGAGGTGGGGGAAAGTAAACCAGAGGCTCAGAGGTCAAGTTCAGGGTAATCAGTTGTTTTTCAAGGCCTCCACTCTGTGGAACCCAAAGGTATTGAAAGAGGCACCCCCAACCTCCTAACTGCACCCTGTCTTCTCTGTAGGTAGTGGGAGGCAGAATACCCTGTAGGGTGAGGGTTTGGCAAAATGGAGCCCTTTAGGCCACAAATCCTGCCTGGGTCTCCTTGCTTGGCCCAGAACTCATACTGAGGACCCCGCTTCCCTAGCCCCAAATGGTCAGCATCATGGCTGGCACAAGGCTGAGGGACAGTGTGCTAGAGTCCCTGGGTTGCAATTCCAACCCTGCCATTTGTGTTCCTCCAGCTCATCTACTCCCTCCCTCCCTCCCTCTTCCCTTCCACCACCTCCTATCCCACCATTAAAGCATCCTTTCCTGTCCCAAGTGGAATGGAGCTGTGAGACGTGCAAGGTTAGACTGGAGGGAATCTGAGTCTACCCCCACTGCCCTTCCCAGGAGTCCTTTGAGGAAGAAGAGGCCTGCTGACCTCAGTCGGGGTCCTAGGATAGACAGGTCTTGGGAGGTAGCCACAGATCTGGACTGTCAGGGCCTGGTCTGGATAGATCAGCCCCAACCACGGTGGCCATCTGGGGCTTCTGCAGGCCAGGCTAGTCTGCAGCAGCTCCAAGACCCTGCCTGGAACACAATGGAAACCTATCAATCACTCCCAGCAATCAAGGGGCTTGGAGCCTAGTTTAGCCAGGCCACCTGCGTCCTAAGCCTATGACAGTAGTCCCCCTCCCCCACTTCCTCCAACTGAGGGAAAAGTAGCTTGGGAACACTGTGGGATAGGGGGTGGGGGTTGGAGGGTCTGATGCAATCCTAGTGGCTCCAAAAGAAGATGCTCTCTGCCTCTAGCCTGCTCTCTGAACCCTCTGCCATAGTCCCATTATCGCCCCCGCTGTGGCCTCAGGAGGTTTTGCAGGCCTGGGTAGAGACAGGCGGCTGTAATTCCTGGGAACTGGAGGACTTGACTGTAGCTCTGAGTGACCATCAGGGGCTGCTGAGCCAGTACTGTGTAAGGGCCTATTTAAGCCAGAGCGGCTCCACCTTGGTTGAACAGCCATTTTGTTGTTTATGCAGTAAAACTTAAACTGACCCTGCCCCCCCAGAGGAGCTTACTTAAAAGCAAGTCCGGGAAACCAGTCCCAGGTAACAAAGTCCAAATACAAGGGTAGGTCAGGTCAGGTGGCGACATCTAATCAGTGGGGAGGATGGGGGGCACATACTGTCTCCCTAGTTACCAAGGAATATGGGCCCTGCCCTTTGGGCACCTTTTGGGTGCCAATTCTGACCAAGGTGATAGGCTGTTTCAAATGTCTACTAGGGTAAATTGTAATTCAATTGGTCACTTATGTGTGACCTAACATGACTGTGCAGCTTTCTCTGTGTGTTACAATTTCATTGGTCACCTGTGCGTGGCCAGGCCCAACCACATGGCCTTTGCCCTTAAAAGCTAGTCTGTGAAGTAGAGAGAGGTTGCCCTCTTTGTAAGAGGCACGGCCCCGAACGTTCGGTTTGATTCTTGATGCTTGGCGCAGAATAAAGCTTTGCTTGACCTTTGCTTTGTATCAGTCTCACTCCTTTAATCACGGACCCATTATTGGGGGACCCAACATTGGGGACCCAACACTTTGGAGCCCAGAAACCCAGACAGAGTCCAGGGCAGTGGGAAAGCTCACTCTGGGACCTTGTTCTCCTTGTCCTGTGTACAATCTATCACTGTTTCACCTCTGTACTTTTACAGTTTTATTTCTCACTTTCTGTATCTTGAAATACAGCCCTTCCTCTCCTTAGCGTGAATGTCCCCATCTTTCAAAGCCCTATCTCAGTCTCCTCCTTCCTCCCCTCTCTGACCACCCAGACCCACCCCGGTTATTCCTTCTAAGATAATGTTCAGTCATAGGCGGTTGGCACTCTAGTTTACAAAGTTCACAGTCATCCTCTTCAGCCTCACAGCAAATCCGTCAGGCAGGAATGATCACTCCCATTTTACAGAGGAAAATCTGAGGCTCAAATAGGTGAAGTCCCTCAGACATAGGGGGTCTTAATTCAAAGTTGCCCCCTAGAAACCAGTGATCTAGTATAGACCTTGTCATGGGCCCTCAGCTCAGAGAAGCCACCATGGAAATCACATTCCAACTATATGCTCCTCAGTGAGAACATGCTAGAATATTCTGACTCTGCCTGCCTGGCGCACATACCCTGCTTCCTATACATCTAAAGATATTCCCGTCAAACACAATTCAGCAATCATACCGTGGCCACAAATTCTCTGCAACTCTCCCAGTATGACGTGGAGTCTACTGACTCACTCCTTGGACCTGGGCTGGCTTTGTCACTTGCTTTGAGCCAAGGAATATGACAGAAGTGATGTTGTACAAGTTCTAGAGTTTAGGCCCCAAAAGACCTTGCTACCTCGCTCTCTTGGAACACTGTCCTGAGACCACCCTGTACGAAAGTCAGTCTATCCTACTGGAGACTGAGAGACCACATGGAGGAGAGCTGAGGCCCCCAGCCAACAGCCAGACAGGTGAATGAGGCCATCTTGAACTTTCCACCACAGTAGTTGCATGAATGAGCCTAAATAAGACCAGCAGAGGAATGGTCCAGCCAACCCACAGAATCATGAGAAATAATAAATTTTTCTTAATGAACCACTGAGTTTTGGGGTGGTCTGTTATACAGCAATAGATAAGTGGAACACCAGGAGTAAAAG